ACGGTATGGCCATTGACTTCTTCGCCGTCCTCTTGCGTACCACAGACTTGTCGCCCAACTGTTGAATGACAGCTATTTTGGTGGTGGAGTGGCCGACACTGAGGAGGAGGTTGTGGTGATCACCAAATGACACGAACTGTTCAATGAATGTTGAGTGAAGTGTGCAATGAATGCAATGAATGCCTAATAATAATAAATCATTTGTTGTTTACATTGCAGTCAAACACAAGGTTTGTCTGTTTGGCACATGTTTTCGCGATTATATAGTGCCCGACATTTGGTACGTTTTGGTTGTGCGAGTGTTGGGTTTGGTGTATGAGAGTGTTGTGTGAAAAGGTATGGGATGGCGGTGGGCGTGTTTATGAAAGTTTTTAAAAGGCGTTTAACTTAAAGTTTTTATTTATCTTACGAGCGATTAATATAATTACAGTAATATTTGTTAATATAATTTCATTAGTAGTTTTAATCTAGTCAATTAAAAAATATTTTATTTATTAAAAGTAGATTGAACAAAAATAATCCAAATAAAACACAAATTCAAAATGAGATACAGAGTAATTATTCTTATTGAAAGTTAACAACAGGTTATTATATAACTTATAATTTTAATATCAAACAGAGAATCATAATTATTACTAACATTAATCATAAAGATTTAGTTAACACTAAATATAATATAATTAAAACACAATGTTATTCATCACGTAACTCAATATCTATTACCGTAAATCTGATGAATTGTTAGTAAAACTAACGCAATAAATTATTTGTTGTTATAAAATGAATAAATAAAATTAAAAATATAAATGACTTATAAAATATTTTTATTTGCTATAACAAATTATAAATACATTAAAAAGAAAAAGCACAATAATTTACTTTATATTATTTATACTTTATCAATTTTTAAAAAACCAATTACAAGTAATAGAACATGAGCAATTTATTCATTCCCTTGCAGTCGATGATTCAATAATATCATTGTCTACACAATCTCTACAGTCGAGCGTAAATGTAGCCAACAGTCGTGAATATGTACCTGGTTAAAATTTTAATAATTACATTATATGTATTACATTAGTATATAATTTGTTTTTGTTTAATAAACTGACCACAATTTACGGTCACCGTTTCATTACGAGCTAAGGCCTCGGTTAATTTATATTTTTGAGCAGTGTCCTTTTTATCAAATAGAACCGATTCGTCACCCTTAGCCCATGAATATTCCAAATCACCCGTTTTAAATCCATCTAGATGAAACAAATAAATACACTTATAATAAGCTAGTGTGAATCGCATAAAAATAAAATAAATATTATATAACGCATAAATGAGCATTATAAATGATTATAAATGTGCATTATTAATTATTAATGATCATGCTACTTACAAGATTCCATTTCTAGCGTACACTCGTCCGACTTAACACTTTTCTGCGGTCCGCACCTGTAGTTCACTTTAAGTCTAAAAATTTATTTTAAAATTATTTATAAATTATAACTTGTATATTTTATATATTATACATTTTCAACTCACCTTTCGCTATACGCAACATCGCCATTAGGTTTAACTTTCAAAAACGTGTTACGGGTCGGATATTTTACGATATCCACGTCCATTGAGTTTGAGAAAAATGTGTCCGGCACTCATACCCTCTCCATAAGTGACTGTCCACCATACGCATCCTCGGTTATGACATTGGCTATCAGTCGAGGGTCATTCCACATTTGCCGGAAGTACATCATCATGCTCATATCCTATATTAAACATTACAAATTTAAAATATGCTAGCGTGTTTTAATTTTATAAAATAACTAATAAACTAACCCTAGTTTCAGGGTTGAAGTCGTAGTTGATAACATACATAGTGATGCCAATTTGAACCGAGGTATTTTCTATAATAAATACGTGTATTGTATTTAAATAGTGAAAATAATACTTTAAAAATATTTTTAATGTACCTGCTAAGTTCAGGTCGTATATCCTTGTCGTACATTGGCGAATTAGTAAGCATTTTGAAATTTTTCACCGCGGCAACTCTAGGGTTAATGCCTAATAAATCAGTCCTAGGATATTTTAACAAATAAATTAATACAATTTTTATGTTAGTATACTTAATATTAGATGGTATGCTAGGGTACTTACATTTTAGGCAATTGTATTTTAGGCATTTTAGCCAGTAGGTCTTTTGAATAGCACACAGAAATCACGCACATTAAAATAATTATAAATTTCATTTTGAGTTTAAAAATTATAATTTAAAATAATTATATTTAATAGTATACTTTTAGAAATATATAATATTAAAACTCTATAGCCAATTTCTATTTATATATGGTCTAGTTTCATCATAATATATACAAGTCATATCTATTAAATATAATTTCATTAACATATTTTTAAGTTACTAATTTAAATATTTATGGTATTAAATGTATTTTTCTAATAATATTTCATAAATGATTTCTATTATTTTTATTGTTAATATCTAGAAATAATAAATCTGTCATAAACACTTTTATCAAACTAATTTATTTTCATCTAATAAATTATATAGACTAAACAATATTTTATATATACATAACATTGAATACAGTAGTGGCTTGATTATATTATCATTTACAGAACTTGTGTACTGAACATGCTATTACATTATCGATTTGTATTAGTTATCTAAGTAATCTAATTTTATATACTGTAAATATTTGATAAATTAAAAAGTGGCATAATTTTAAAAATTAATTTCACGTTTTAGTAATACACTTTAATCATGTAAAAACATAAATTTAATTTAATCAACTTACATTGAAAATATAATTTTAAATAAAAATTAGGCATATTTTATAATACAAATTATCTAGATATAATTACACCGACTTTCCAACAGGTACTCCAAAAGGCATATGAAAGTCATGTAATGGGAAGACTTGGGAAATGCTTTGATCGCTATTTCAACCAAAACTGAAACAAACAAATCAAATGAGAGTTAATTAATTGAATGGTAAGTCATACAAACCATTTGACGGCACATTAGTCTTAATGAGTGCATCGGAATGAAGACTTGTACTGATCTCACGGCATAACTCGGGTGTGGTTTTCGTGAACAGCACCGGTAGTGATGGATCGGTGCAGTACAACAGCTCTGTTATGTCAGGGAATGGCAGTTGAATATTCTTAAACATACGGTCAGTATTCACGACAGTTTGCAATTTGATGCCATCCGAGCACAACAATAGGTTAAACCAGTGGTCGACTCTATATTTGCCAATCCGTACGTATTCTGTAGAAAACAGATACGGATTATCCGATTGAAAGTCACTCATTGGCATCAATAGAGTGGAAAGACGTCTCAGTATCCGATCGTTCCGTTCGCTCTTTTCCTTCAATTCTGTGACCTTTTGTGTCAACAAATTCTTGTTTTTCTTTAAATTCTGTGACTTTTTCTTCAATACATTGTTCTTTGTCTTCAACACATCCATACAATTGTGGACATTATGGACAAAACAAATGCCACATGTTTTGCATAACTGATGGCCACATGTGCTGAGATGTGTCTCCAACTGCTCCAATGATATCACTTCCGGACACCCATTGCCCACAAACTTACATTTGATCTCCAATTTGGAGATAATATTATTTACAATGAGATTCTTGTTGCAAACATATCCACTAATAATCTGCACGTTATTAATGATCCCCTGTTTGCCTCTCTTTCTGGACAACTTATGCTGACATTGAGGACAAGTATTGCGATCTTTGGACAGCCATTGAGTGAGACAATTGTGACAATAGGTATGACCGCATGGAGTGGTGACAGCCCTGTCTTGTGCCGTTTGGACGCATAACTACTTGGATGGCTATTCCGTGGCCACACCCCAACAGGTCTTCAATTATCACCCGTTGCTGATGACTATTGGGATGCTCTTCCTCAACGCCAATGGTATGCATACGTGCGGCCCATATGTCAAGGGATCTGTTGGGTTGTCATCGCAGTGATCACTCTTTAGGCCAGTTTTTGTGATGCTTTTACTGTCGAGGAATGTCTTGTATTTGATTCACACCACTTTCTCATACTCTCTTGAAATCTCTCTCCCTCTCTCTCTCTCTCTCTCTCTCTTTCACTCAAAACCCGTTACACTAATCGGGAAATTATTAACAATTAAAGCAAAAATATCCTCAAAAATGTTGACACTTTCCTTAAAACAAATGAAACTCTTGATAATGTGACACTAAATGACTAATACATTAATGATAACTAAAACTCAAACCCAAAGGAATATTAATCTATCGGATCAGTCGATGGCTGCGGTTTCAGCGCCAGAAGTGGATCCACTTTACGGTGCAGACGACGGCACTTGTAGTCACTTTAATGGGCTCTTACGCCGTCTTCCACTACCATAACGCCACAGACATCCCAAACCTCTATTCCCTGCACTCATGGCTCGGACTCACAGCAGTCTCTGGCTTTGCGCTCAGCCTGTTATCCGCCTTTTTCTCGTTTCTCTACCCGGGCATCGATCCCGTCTACCGGCGCCTTATACTACCTTTTCATATATTTGGCGGAACCGCTAATATTGTGCTGACGGGGGCGGTAGCTATCACTGGCCTCACGGAGAAGGCCTTGTTTAGTCTGTAAGTGTTTTGTACTGATATCTATTTTGATACATGTGTGCCCTCCCGGTGCTCTAGTGAATGTGTGGCAAGTCTTGTGTTTTATTTTATGAGGAATTTTGTTTGAAATGTATTTAAAGTGTTGTTTATTTATGTTTAGGAAATCAAAAGGCGCTGAATATCGAGACCTGCCGGCGCCGGCTGTCATTATAAACATATTCGGCCTGTCGATAGTCGTGTTCACAGTACTGGTCGTATGGCTGGTGACCAAACCGGAGTTCCGGCGCCGGTATATACCGGCAGTTAATGCACCGCAATATAAGTTAAGGAGAGAACAGACCACTGAATGAGTGATTAGTTTAATTGATAATTGATTTTACATTTTTAAATGCATTTTCTAATTGTGTTTATTTTTGTTGCATTTAAGGCTTAATTGAGTTATTGTTTATGTTTTGTTTGCAATTCATTTGCAGCTCTTTTTCACATCAAATGTATTTAAAGCGAAATTTAAAGTTCAAATACAGAGACAACTATTTTTGTATTTTTTTATTTATGTTTAAATTTTAGGGGATAATATTTTCTATTTAAAGTATAATGTGCTTGAGATACAAATTATTGAAAATTAAACCAAAGTCGTGGCCTTAAATACGATGTTTACACATACCTGTACATCAAAAATGTTGTAAATTATTTTTTATTCAAATATTGTAATTTTACATAAATTTAATAATTATTGTAATATTCGTGTAATAAATTTTGTTACACATTCTCGTTGGCTATCATTAAATTTTATTATGTGTTTTACAAATAAACTAAAAGTTAATAACAAGGGATATTGGAGATTTTAATACAAATTATTTAATTACTGTATATTTACCGTAACTATAAATTGTTTTTAAAATGTATTAATTTATATGCAAAAGTAATTATGAAATTAACGCAAAACTTACTTTTAATTGTGTGTTAAGAGATGTTTGAAAATGTTTTATAATGGATTTAATACTAAATATTTAAATGACAAAGTATCTANCTCTCTCTCTCTCTCTCTCTCTCTTTCACTCAAAACCCGTTACACTAATCGGGAAATTATTAACAATTAAAGCAAAAATATCCTCAAAAATGTTGACACTTTCCTTAAAACAAATGAAACTCTTGATAATGTGACACTAAATGACTAATACATTAATGATAACTAAAACTCAAACCCAAAGGAATATTAATCTATCGGATCAGTCGATGGCTGCGGTTTCAGCGCCAGAAGTGGATCCACTTTACGGTGCAGACGACGGCACTTGTAGTCACTTTAATGGGCTCTTACGCCGTCTTCCACTACCATAACGCCACAGACATCCCAAACCTCTATTCCCTGCACTCATGGCTCGGACTCACAGCAGTCTCTGGCTTTGCGCTCAGCCTGTTATCCGCCTTTTTCTCGTTTCTCTACCCGGGCATCGATCCCGTCTACCGGCGCCTTATACTACCTTTTCATATATTTGGCGGAACCGCTAATATTGTGCTGACGGGGGCGGTAGCTATCACTGGCCTCACGGAGAAGGCCTTGTTTAGTCTGTAAGTGTTTTGTACTGATATCTATTTTGATACATGTGTGCCCTCCCGGTGCTCTAGTGAATGTGTGGCAAGTCTTGTGTTTTATTTTATGAGGAATTTTGTTTGAAATGTATTTAAAGTGTTGTTTATTTATGTTTAGGAAATCAAAAGGCGCTGAATATCGAGACCTGCCGGCGCCGGCTGTCATTATAAACATATTCGGCCTGTCGATAGTCGTGTTCACAGTACTGGTCGTATGGCTGGTGACCAAACCGGAGTTCCGGCGCCGGTATATACCGGCAGTTAATGCACCGCAATATAAGTTAAGGAGAGAACAGACCACTGAATGAGTGATTAGTTTAATTGATAATTGATTTTACATTTTTAAATGCATTTTCTAATTGTGTTTATTTTTGTTGCATTTAAGGCTTAATTGAGTTATTGTTTATGTTTTGTTTGCAATTCATTTGCAGCTCTTTTTCACATCAAATGTATTTAAAGCGAAATTTAAAGTTCAAATACAGAGACAACTATTTTTGTATTTTTTTATTTATGTTTAAATTTTAGGGGATAATATTTTCTATTTAAAGTATAATGTGCTTGAGATACAAATTATTGAAAATTAAACCAAAGTCGTGGCCTTAAATACGATGTTTACACATACCTGTACATCAAAAATGTTGTAAATTATTTTTTATTCAAATATTGTAATTTTACATAAATTTAATAATTATTGTAATATTCGTGTAATAAATTTTGTTACACATTCTCGTTGGCTATCATTAAATTTTATTATGTGTTTTACAAATAAACTAAAAGTTAATAACAAGGGATATTGGAGATTTTAATACAAATTATTTAATTACTGTATATTTACCGTAACTATAAATTGTTTTTAAAATGTATTAATTTATATGCAAAAGTAATTATGAAATTAACGCAAAACTTACTTTTAATTGTGTGTTAAGAGATGTTTGAAAATGTTTTATAATGGATTTAATACTAAATATTTAAATGACAAAGTATCTACCGATTAATGCAAATGAATACAGAATAACATACAGTATAGTACTGTATACTGTACTACTGTTCCCTCAATTATTATTTGAAATCACAGATGTTTTTAATGTGTTTTTAATATATAAATACTCAACAACTATTGGTTGCATAACTCTAAACTTTTATTTATATTATGCATCAATTTTATAAGCCCAAATTGATTGGAAATAATTTCCCTGACATTGAAACTAATTATTGTAATATTTATTCAACGATAAGATTTTAGTGCATTTGCACTAAAATGAAATGTTGTGTAAAATGCACTAAAATGCTAGTGAATGTCACTCTCTGTATAGATCTGTTGTTAAATGCAGAATACACAGTATATTCACAATTAAAACCTTTATAAAAATTATATCAAATTATAAAATTAAATTAAAATCAAAATATGAGATATTTGTAGATATTTTAAAATTAACGTTTAGTTAATTTGTAATAAAATTCTTGAATCTGGATTATTTTTGTGTTTATTTTAAGTTTGAGTGATTTGATGTGGAATAGTGCTATTCCCGTACAATAACTGCAATTTTATTCATAAATACACAGTTTATAAAATGTTTTGTTGACAATTCACATTATTATTAAACGACAATTGTCTGTAGAGTAATTATTATTTAATAATTATTATTAAAGGTGTCAAACCATGGCTTTTGTTACGTTTCAGGAGATATTTATACGCTGTATTTGGGAGTTCAAGTGTTGGGCATCGGGATGATCGGGATCTGTTGCCTGTGGACTAACAAGTATTTGGGCGGCTTCTCCCTGTCCACTCCCGAACAGTCATTCAATTACCACCCATTACTGATGGTCACGGGAATGGTGTTTCTCAATGCTAATGGTATATCACACGTCTACCTAATATTTCTTATCATTAATCAAAAACATAAAGTCACATGGTTACCAAATTAAACTTACGTTTATTGATAACAAACTTACACTACTCATTTTAATAGTTCTAATTTTTTAGATTTTAATTTATGAATTCCTAGATTCATGGCTCGTTGAATATATTTATAAATTGTAATTTAAACAATTTTAATTGATTTAATCATTTTCTTACAGGAAATCTATTCTTTAGGACCAGCAGTGGTCTGAAATATAAGACACAAAAGTTTCTACACTATATATTACAGGGATTAACACTCGGAATATCATTAGCGGGCGTTTACGCGGCCTATAGCTATCATACCGTTAAGAATATTCCGCACTATTACTCCCTGCACTCATGGTTGGGAGGGGGGCTTATGGCCATGTATGCCATGAATCA